TAAACATCCCTCTCGAAAATGATTAAAAACACAGAATAGAAAAACCGCAATGGCTCCTTATGCAGAAAAAAAAAGAGAAGTCACTTTGTTTTTTAACGTTGACTACTGACGCCCACGAAGCAAGAACTCTGCACAAGTTTGGCAAAGCTGCAAAACCACAAACTGCATTCACTCTCCATTCATCACGTTGGCAGCTGTTGGAAAGTTCACCCAAGACTGTGTTTTAGAGCAAAGACTCTGCGGAGGATACAAAAATAAAGGTCTTGATAGGTGCTGTGCTTAATGTTGAGATGTGGTTCTGAACTTTTAAGCAGGGAAGTAACTCGACGCTTTCAGGTCCTGATTTTCAATAACAGCAGGTCATTTCTTGTTACATGCTCACGGCTAACATGCTCTGCATACTTGGTCCATACATCAGACCGGGGTATTTTTTTCGTAGTGTCACATCGTAGCTTATTGTTCTTGGCTGGGACGGTTCCCTCTTAAAGGCTTAAGGTGCCAAATGGGCCTGCACCATGTGTGTTCATGCACTGAGTGACATCTCTGGCTGCCGCCCTGCAGGCACAGAGGAACTCAGCCTGAAAGTCTACACCTGCGAAACGGGGACGGCGGGGGGGAACCTCTGTCTCGTCCTAAACCGTGAACCCTCCTGTTTCATAAAATCTGTCTGCTTGTTAGTTCAGTTCTGCTTTATTAACTCTAAAACGTCTCCGCCGAAATTTGTCATCTATGTTAAGAGCCACTGTGACGCACAGTCGGCCCCGACCTCCCCTCAGATGCGAGACATAAATCACGGCGGAACCAAATTAGAATCTAAAAAAAGGAACAGAGTGGGGTATTTTGGTGAGCCTCTAATAACTCAGCTGCTTGTTCTAGGTGGAACAGTTGAGCCGGCATCGTGTAAAACCCATCTGAGCCTGAGATAATGGTAATGGTAAAACCTGACATGCGGTAAAAGGCGCTGTGAAGAATGATTGCTTAATTGTTTCTGCTGCATTAACACAAAATTAAAACGGCTTATTTCATTGCAATCTGAGGGTTTAAATACACGTCTGATGTTTGGATGTGACACTGCAGCTCAGTTGTGGAGATGTTAACTAATTAAAAGGCAGATTTTGGCACAATTTATCTGCTTTATCACCAATTAAACACACAAGGAATTCAAGTCATAAACTCCTAAAGAGGGAAACATAAATAAAACACTTAAGCGTCATATCAGCAACGGTAGTTTTCACTTCTTTAAGACTCTTACAGGGCACCTTGAGTATAACATTTTAGCTTTTTAAGAGCAGTCCAGAGTGATGCAGTTACACTTACCCGCACTAGAGGGAAGCAGCAGGAGGAGGCAGCAGCAGCCACATTGTTTTCCTGGAACTTTCTGGAAGCACAAAGAGAAACACTTAGATGTGCTTTGGTGCATGTGTGCATTGGTTTGTTCTGTTTTATCAATCAAGTCACAGCTTAATTAAGTAGTGATTAAAGAAAATAAAATGAGGCTTTTGGAGCAGCTAAAGCTACACGTGCAAATACCCCGCAGGATTTACTGCATTACTTTGGCATCCAACTTCCTCCACGAGACCAGCTGAAACAGTAAGACTTCAGCGCCGTGTTGAGTTTTGTCTGAGCAAAGATCTGCTGGGTGTCACTTTCAGGCTCACAAACATGAACAAAAGCTGGAGGGAGATAAATCTGTGCAAACAAATGAGGGCTACTTTGAGGGCCCAGTGACTTCGAGGCAAAAGGTGAGAAACGAGGTGAAACAGGATAGGGAAAATGTGCCATGACAATTGTTGAAGTAACATTTTTTCGGTTGCTTAATTTTATTTTCTTCTTAGCGAGAAAAGCCAGAGCAGCACTCTGCGCTACCAGTTTAAAAGTGGGAAGTGATGACTCGTCTCTTTGTTGGAAAACTGACCTTAAATATCTCCTCCAGGCATGTTTGAGTGTGTATAAAACTACATTTAGGACTTTTCTTTACTATTCAAATCTATGAATGTTGCAAACGACACTTCCTCCACACCTTCTGTGAATATGCAAATATTTGTCTTTATGAGTTCAACCACAATCCCCCTGACTTCAGTGTGAATCTCTGAATGTATCTGCACTACACGTCTCCACGTCACACTGGCGTAAGTCGCTCATTGAAGTGAGAAGGGCTTCCGAAATATCTGTAAAGTCACAAATCCTGCTTAAACTCAGATTTAGAGAAACTTTCTTACAGGAGGATAAGTGTGAAAACAGAAAACATACATAATACAGTCAAGTGCAGCAATATTGCTCAAAACAGTTTTCGAAATTCAAGGTTACGTAAACCTTTACACCCTAAATGTTTTATTTGGAACAATGCCGTTAAATTACTTTGTTTTTGTAACAAGTTTTATTTCAGAACTTAAAAGACTCTTTAAAGGTCAGGAGTCATTATAGGCTCTTGATGCACACAATTCCTTGTAAGAGGCTAAACGGCTAATTTACTCACTCCGAGGGTTTTACAGCCATTTAACATGAGAGCATTTTCTTAAATCTGGCTCTAACGCTTCACGGGCAGCCTGCTGTGACGTATTTACATGTAATTCCACTCTAACAAAGACAATGAATAATAGCATAGGTGTAGCATGTAAGACAGAGCGTCTGATGCACAAAGTTGTAACAGCAGTTTAAAAATATTAAACACAAGCGTCGAGTTAGCCTGATGTGCAGTTTCAGTTTGAGTCACAGTTAAGTATTGTGTCACTTTGTCCTCTTAAGGCCTCTAAAAATGCCTCAAACTGAACTTTGAGAGGAAAAGCATCCGTTTCTTGCGGCTATCCTGTCCTCTCTCCTCTTTACCCTCATCCTGGTCTGACTCAGTACACTGCAGGCAGAAACCTGCCGTTTCTTCTGCGCAACTCACAAGCTGCAAATGGCAAGTTTAGCCAAGGACCTGGATCTGAATCATGCAATGATGGGCCCCAGCTTAGTTCTCTCTGTGAATTAGTCATTTGGATGACAGTGCTCTCATTCATACATGAAAACCTTCCACCGCCTCGTCCCTGTTGTGCCGGGGCACCAGCGCTGTATCCTGGGCTCAGCACCAGCCAACACAATTATGACTGATTTAGAGAAATACAAGCTAGCCAGAGCGGTTTTGTTTCTCCACTAGAGCAACAATGAGGTGCAGTCATACCATTCTACAGATATGTGAGACTACCCTCACCCCAACTAGTCGAGGCAGACGGACGGCGGCCCTCCTTGAGTCTAGTTCTGCTGTAGGTTTCTCTTCCTACTTTCGTCTAAGTGCTTGCGTAAAGGGAATTTGTAGGATTTGTAGTTGTTTTTTTCCCTTGATAATACAGTGCTGCCCACTTATGTCATACCGCTTTACAGAATATCCCGTTTATAATCATAAAATATCAAAGTCCAGAATCATTTCCTGTATAACTTATAGTAAAACAGCCCGTTTATCGTCATAGAATAATGTCATAATCTTGGTTTTGGTCATAACAAAATCCCCAAATTGATTCCAGGAGTAACTTGAAAGTCCTGGTCGGGTGATCGTTACAGCTCGACTGTCAGATTATCACACCCCGGTCAGCCGAGGAAGGCAACGTGTTGGTTTGTTTGTCAATTAGCTGCTCACCTGAGATCTGATCACTGAGTTATTCACACACTGCCTGACATTAATTAGGGCACATCAGAGAGAATCGCATGTCGTCACTCAGAACTGAACTGCTCAGCTCGTTAGTCATGAGAAGTTAATCCTCTGTAAACCCTCCGATTAAAGGAAATAACTTTTATCAATGGGGTGGCTTTTCGTGCCGACAAAGGTGAAATTTCGCTGAAGCAAAAACCGTAAAGCTCCGTTTATTGATCTTCAAAGAAACCGTCCCGTTGATCTTGTGAAAACATTCCCATTGTGGCTTTACATATAAACCCCCATTTTTCGTAACACAGACACAATTTGCGCCGTGCCCGACACTCGAAAAACCTCAAACCCGCCCAATGGAAAAACCCCGAAAAAAGCAAAAATCCAACCCGGAACCGCGGGAAGAAAACCCCGGAAAAACAAGGAAAAGCCCGAACCTAAACCCGGTCAAGAACTCCAAGGTTCCAAAACGAAAAAGGCCTTTCGAGGCCAACGGAACCCAAAAAAAAAAAAGGGCAAAAAAGCTGGTGGGAATCAATAAAAGCATTAAAAACAAGGTAAAAAAAATTTCCGAAAAAGTGAAGGAATTTTGGGTCCAAAAGCAAGGCAAAAGGCCCCCCTTTTAAAACATAAAAAAAACAAACAACACCTGTCACTTGAACCAAATGGCCTGGAGTCCAAAAGACCCCCAAAGTCCTGAACAGGGTGAATATGTGAGGCATCCTGAGAGTGAATCTATAAATATAACTGAATTCAAGTACTCAGCTTGACTCTGGACTTTTTAAATAATGTACAATAAGCATTCTATGTGCAATGATCCAAATGGTATTAATATTATTATCACACGGTATATACAAGAGCAGAATGTATATGTATTTTTTAGATATATTTTCACATAAATACTTTATATTTTTTATGATATATTTTTGCTTTCCTACATCTTTAAGACTTTGATTGGGAGCATCTGTAGCAGAAAGCCTGTATTTCTGACTCTGAGGACCAGTAAATGCTGATCTGTCACTATTTCTGACATTTCTTGCCCCTGCTGACAAAACTCCAAATTCCAACATTTTATTTCGAGGATATAAATAACCCACCACGATGGAGCGATCTGTTCTATTCCTGTCAAACAAGACACCAAACCAGCCTGTTTACTGTCACTGTGACTTTATTTATTGACCCGTTTGTGGCCGTGGGCGCGCGGATCTCCGTCTGCGTCCCAGGTCGGGTTCTGAAAACTTTCCTGCAGCTCGCTCTGTGTATGTTTTCTCGGTTGCTATGGGTGGAGCAAACAAAGCCGTGTGTCTTCGGCCCTCCTCTCACATTATTTTCATCCATGCTTACGTCTGGGACAGCAGTTCCGCATTCCTGAGCGCTCACAGCCCAGCTCGCTACTTAAACGGGCTGATGCAACGACCTCACTTAGTCCCAAAACCTACATCCGAGTCCCGCGATTGTCCCATTATTACTGCGGATTTGTTTTGGACGCACAACAGGTACGTGTTGAGCCGCTGTCTGTCTGTCTTTGTGCTAATAGTTAGCTAAACGTCGCCTTCATCTATTTGCATACATTTGTTGTTTTTTCGCACTTTTTCTGACTATACATTCACGTTTCTCTCCCAGCTCCTCTGCGCCATTTCTGTTTCTTTATATGTTGTCACTCGGTCGTCCTGGAAAGTGTGAGGCTTTTTTTTTTTTCTTTTCCGCAGTTTTTTTTTTTTTAAACTTTTCCTCTCACCGCAAATTTTGTTGCCGCGACCGTTAAGTCCGCTACTGTTGTTATTGTTGTTGTTGTTGCTGCAACTGTCGTTAGCAACTGTCGTTAACCGTTATTTGCGGAGCCCCTGCGCTAAATTGCGCCTCGTGTCAGGAGGTATTTTCATCTCGGGATTCTTCCTTTTCGGTGTTGCTAAACTCCAGCGTCGGTTAGCCGAGTGTTATGTAACGCCGGCGCACGCTGTGGCTGCGAGAGGAGCTGCTAGCAAGAGCTGCTCTGCTGCAGCAAGCTGCACCGAGTCAGCATCGGGTCTGCATCGAGTCTGTACCGAGTCTGTACCGAGTCTGCATCGATTCAGCACCGAGTCTGCAGGGCTCCAACCGTCTTCAACTTTGGTGCAGCTGTACAGTCAGATATCTGCTAGCTCGTCCAGACCCGTTCATATTAGCACTTTGCAAACATGCAGGACAGACAGCAGCCAAATCTGCAATGTGACTGCAAAGTAAAAGGGATCCTGAGATGCTCATGATCTTATGAAAACTGGCAATCACACTGTGAAAGACCACTGTGGTGTCTATAAATAGCTTGTAAAGGTATTCAGAATCAGAAACAGATTTATTGCCAGGTGTAGTTCACACAATAAGAGGAATCTGGTGCAACAATAAATATGGAGGAAGGTGCAATGTGCAAGATGAAAATATAAAAATAGCTTAAAAAAAATAAAAGTAGCTAAAAATAAAATAGTGCAAAGCAGAAGCAAAAAATATTGTGAAGAATTAAAGTTAAATTTAGTAATTTAAATTATTTAAATTCAATTTTATTTTTTTATTTTTATTTATTTTACATTCAATTTTTATTTTTAGCTACTTTTATTTTTTTTAGCTATTTTTATATGTTGTATCTTACTTATTTAATTTACAGTGGCATAAAACTGTAAAAAAAAAAAAAAAAAAAGAGGAAAAAGCAGAAATGCATCATGGATCTTTGTTGCTATTACTTGATAATTAACTTTATGTCAACTGTCACTTAACATGTTGATTCTTTTCTTCATTAATCGATTAGTTGTTTGATCTATTAAGTGTTGGAAATAAGTGGGTTTTTTTTTGGTCTGTAACCCAAAGAAATTTACTCTCACAATAGAAGAAGGAAACCAGAAAATATTCAGATTTAAAAGGCTTTTTCTTTTTTAAAAAAAAAATGCTCAATGTGAATAATCAACTATCAAAACAGTCGCAGATTAATCGTTTGCAATTAGTCGATTAATCGTTGTTGCAGCTCTAATGGGTAATTAATCAGTTGTGACAATAGTATTTGGTTAGTTTCCTGTCAGACTAATCATTGCTGCTCTAATAACCAAACCTCTGTTGTGATGAATCGTAATACGTGTCTCATTAACTCTCTGCAGCGTCCAAACAAAGTTGCATCATTGACAGAAGACGACTGACAAGTTTCCTCTGAGTAAGTATCGCGCACCGAAAGCAGATTTTGATGTCATTAATCACAAGTGCCTGCTTGAGTGTCGCCTACAGCTGCACTAAAACAAACAAACAAACAAACAAAACTTGGCTTCGAGAATTCACCTTGAAACACAACTGATGTAAATGAAGTGTGAAGTTTCCTTGGCAGCGTGTGAGTGCAGCCCAGGACCGTGTACTCAGATTGGCTTCTGATTGGGAATCTTTGCTTTGGCCCATCGTGCTGTGTGTTTAAGTGTATTTTTCTGGATATCGGATGATGAGGGGAAACTTGTGTGAGAGTGTGCAGGCCTCACATGTGAATTTGCATACTACCAGATAAACAGACTCCAGCACTGAACTCCTTTTTTTTGTCGCTACAGCAACTTTCCGGGTGAGATGAGCCAGTAAATAACACCCTGTTGTCCCCTTTAGAGTCTTTTAAAAGATTTACTCTTAACTGTGTGACACTAACTAAATCTAGTCCGGCTCCTTATCCTCCCTTGTTGGCGTGAAGGTTAGAGGCCAATCAGGGAATGGGAAATATGACTGGTAGGGATGGATTGTATGTGTGCGTGTGTGGTGGGGGTTTGTCACTTGCGAGTTCATAGGTTCAGCGTTTTCCTATATAGTGAGTGCATGCCCTTCAGCTGGTGCAGTGCGTGCTCTTACAAATATATGCCACGCAGGGGAAACTATTTCTGTGTGCTCTTTATATATGTTTCCTTTGTGTCTGTATCTGTGTTTGTGTGCGTCTAAGTGAATGAGCGTGTGTTACAGAGGGTTTAAATGCCCCAGCGCCTGCCCGGGCACATCCGTAGGATGGTTTCCGCATAAATGGAATGCTGCAGTGGATTAATGGGGAAGGGCTGGCGAGCCGACAAGCAGCGCAGGGCCGTCAGGGCTGAGAGGCTGGACGTGGGCGCACAGGGTTTATTTTAAGTAGAAATGCCTTCCAGTGCGTCTCTGGAGAGCTAGAATTGCCAAGCTGCACCCCAGTACACTGAATAGACAGCAGACGCATTGCAGGCGAGCGAGCCAACTATGCAACAGCTAGACTCAGTGGTACTAATACTAATGCTGGGGGAGCAGCTATTCACTGCTGTGGGTATCACATTATCAGTATCACATTGTAGTCCCCATAAGCCTTTCCACATGCTTTGTAAAAACAGTGTGTTAGGACAGACTAGATGTACACTGTGGAAGCAAACACCCAAATGTCCAAAGGTGTAACTGAGAGAAGGGGCATTAAAGCCAGTGTTTTTATAAAAAAGAGGTCCTTTTTTAAAAGGCCTTTACATAGTTATGATTTCCTGAATTTCTTTTGGAACTGCAGCCAGATTTCTGTGTTTGCACAAAAAACACTCCTGTCGCTAAATGTTGACCGAAACGTCGACCTTTAGCTCCCAGTCTTTGAGAGCAACAAAAGGCTTGAACGGCGCCGAGGCCAGGGCTCGTTCAACCACTCCGGCGTCTGCACCGTACGAGTGTCTGCTTGACGTGGGGCAGATGAGGAAATATCAGAGGACAAAGTATGAAACGGCGTTTAAGTGACAACCACACGTTACGTAATAATGGCGATTGCTTCAACAGACAGCATTAAATCTAATTTTCAGGACTCGGTTGGCCAATATCTTGTTATCAGGGATTGCACATCGCTTGCCTCGGATTTGTCATACAAGTGAACCCCATACATTTGAAAGGGCTTTTGTCTGCATTTTGTATTTTGATTCATTTAATCCATGTCTGAGCCAAGCCAAAGCTCTTTGCCACGCAGAGTCTAATCTTGACTTGCAACGTGGAGAAAAATAGTAACGTTATAATAATTCAACCAGGACCACCCAGATGCAGAATATAGATGTGTGACTGTTTGAATGGCGTGAAGCAGGCCAAGCAGGACTCCAGCCAATCATCACATAGTAACGTCTGAATGAAGGCAGCCACAGTCTTCGTGCTTTGTGCATATCTGCAGGTGCTTAGTGTTTGGATTGAACATTTTTCATTCTTAGGCTAAAGTCCACAATAAAATGCAGTAGTTAAACTTTCCTCTCTTGTGAAACTTCATTCTGAACAGACGATAACCGATTCCGTCCAGCTTGCTCACCGCTGAGACATACGGACGGTAACGGGAAGTCGAGCTCTGCCGACTACCGCTGCAGCTGAGGATCTCATCATCGTCGACGGTGCGGCAAAGTTAAATGTTCATAATTGCGTCGAATTGCTTCGGAAAGGTTAAATCGTCGTCGCATACGGAAACTTGAAAGGTTCCTTTTATCTGCGGCAGCTATTTAGCCCATAAGAGCATCCAACAAAGAAATGAAAGCTGAAATGAAAAGAGATCCTATTTTCTGTTGTGATAATCACTTCCACTCCCACACATGATCGGCCCGGAGTTCTGTGGTCAGAGATGACACCGGCACGATCAGAGCAACGGCCGCTATTAGTGCGTCTCCTCTGTTTCCGTGCCTGTGTCTTGTCTTGTCCCTCCAATGAAAATATAATGAGGAGTCGGAGGAATGTTGATACTGTATATTTGGACTGTCCTGTCCTCGAGGAAAGTCGGTGCCAAATTCCCCGGTTTCCTCAGAGGATTGCGAAAGGCTGTAACTCAACACACGGCCTGACTGAGTGCAGACGGTAATGATGATCGCTGAGACCTTGGCCGGAGATTGAGAGAGTGTGCCTTGGCCAGAGCATTCGCGCTCATTGCTCATTTTTTCGGCGCTCATGTGGAGCTGTAGAAGCTGTTTGCAAGAGTTTTGCAAGATGCTGGTGTGTGGCCCATGCAGTGCCTTATTCATCTAAAGTTAGACTTTAATAAAGTACGCTGACAAATAGTGGTCGAATAGCATCTTGAAAAGCGCGCATGTCTTTCCTGTTGTGCCACGATCCAGTGATTTAAAGTTGAGCACCAGAATTTCACTTTGTGTTTTGGGCGAAGGTGAATTAGCACGCAAAGTCTTTTGACTCCAGCTTTCAGTCACAGAAATGATTTCGCTGGTAGAAGTTAGTGTGCTTCTTTTCAAAAAGCAACAGCATGTAAAGGTAATGAGCAGCTTTTGAAAGGCCCTTTAACCCCCCTCGCCCTTCTCATTCACCGTCTCTATAAGGAATGAGGATAATAGGGCCTCCAGTCGTCCTGCTGGCTATTGGTAAGGGCCTGAATTCCTCAGCGCTGCTAATTGCTCTCAGGAAATGGACACATTTGGTCGAGCTGAAGACAGATAGAGTAAGTGAGCAAAGAAACCAGAGAATTGTACACATATATATATATATATAGGACACGCCGCCGCCTGCATGTTTCCACATAGGAACCCCTCACATGCACCCTCTCTTCACACACACCTCCTGCTAAACCGCCACGCACATGCAGTTAGATTAGCTTTGGGCTGACGCCAGAACCTGCGTTGAGTTCGGTCCCGTATTTCATAACTAATACATGACATTTCCTGCTCCCCGCCCTTGGCTTCAGCTCGTCTCCTCTCAGTTAGCCCCGAGAGCTAGCTGTGCCCACACTGCTGCCGGGGCTGTGTAGGTGTCTTTGTTTGAGGCCAGTGTGGGCCTAAAAGCTGTGGCACTGGCTTTTCTGCTTGACTGCAAAAGCACAGTAACGGCGTTGCATCATCAAACGCTGACCACTAATCCTCGGCTGCAGGCTGCTGCTGACAGAAAAAAAAAAAGAGAGAGAGAGAAAGAAAAATACCCGTCTTTTGAAAAATGTAAAATTCACTTTGACTCATGCTTTTGGGCATAATTACACCCTGCAAGACATGCATCAGCAAACTTTCCCTGTGTTGTACAGATGAGACTTTTTTTTTTGAGAGAGAGAGTTTCATGTCTTAAGGCTTGAATGGGTGTTGAATTTGCAAGGGGGATTTTCAGACACTTGTGTGGCGGCTGAAGAAGACGGAACAGATTAAACACAACAAACTCTCCACTCAACTTAAAAGCCAGGTTTAACTCGCGAGCGAGACGCGTCGAGCGCCTGTTACGTGTCGTAGTTTACAACGGCACTAAATTGTCTGGAATGGCGTGTAACTCACTTTTACGTCTTGTAATTGATAGGTATCTCGCTTCACGCGCCGTTTCACCTTTGTTTTAGAGGCCGCTGGCAAAACTAACGCTGTGGGATTTTGATTTGTGTCATCTGATGTTAAGCAGAAAAAATATGTATGTTTATATACTGAGAGTGTATGCACGTCTGTGTGTGTGTGTTCAACGGCGTGTTTCAACAAGCCGCACCAAGGAATGGGGGCTTTCCTTGCAATGTCTGACAGAGCAGGATTCAATTACAGTGTGTTGCATAGGAGCCAGGCTAATAGACAAAATAAAATTACTCTTGAAGTGACATTTTTTTTTTCCTTTCTCTGTCTGTTTTCTTTGACAAATTGTGTTTGTCCAGGTTGGACCCTAATTCCAGTCTGTAAACTGGCCCTGAGTGTCTGGCCAGCTCGGATATTGGACTCCATTTTGGCTCTGAAAGCGATTTGCTCAGGCCCTCGTAATGGGTGCTTCAGTTCCTGTGGCTGTTCTCTCGGCCCAGGGGTTAGTTTGGATTGCAAATGTTAAATTCCATCGCAGCTCCTGATCGGCAGACGCCAAAGCGAGAAAACTCATATCACAGTTTTTGGTCACACATCTTCTGCTCACGTTGGCCTGATTTCTGAATTCATTCCCTGAGATATACACACGTGTAGTTACTGTAAAATCAGCACATCAGTCACAATCAATGCTATTGTCTGTGCTGCCTCCCTCTTAGACAGCCTCTCTGCAGAGTGAGAAGGCCTTAGCACCTTCCACTCTGCTACACCTCTCCTGGGAGTTTCAGAGAGAAGGAATTTTGTCTGAGAGAGATTTTTTACCAGGGCTGTCTTGTTCCTTTCCTCTCCAGCAAAAACAACAGGCTGCTGCCAAGTGCAGTGTAAATGGGAGTATACATACAGTGGGAGAGGGGGAGGGAGGGGCAGTCAGGATTTAAGTAATAAAATGCCTCATGAGACACTGGCTCCACACACCAACTTGTCCTTGAGTGAATAAATGATGACTGAAGGTGGTGGGGATCAAGTCGAGAGGAGCATGAAGATCAACTGAAAGACTTTGGAGTGCACATGTGCAGCATCTGTCTGTAACAAACTGTGATGTCAGCGTTTGTGGCTAAATGTGACAACAACTGTGTATAGTTGTACAACTGCTTTGGACCTAATTGGTTTTTGTTTGTGCCTCATCACGACTGGTGATTAATAAGTTATGATGCAGGCAAGACAGTATGCGAGAGATTTATGTCGAAATCGTTCTGCACAGAAGCGACGCCATTCCTCCTCAGTATTGATTCGCCGATTTGGTCTCCGCCACGCACGACAGTGAACTCCGCTGCGACTGTAAAAACACTTTAGGACCAGCCCATAAGCAGGGTGGAGTACATTAGAATAGAGTTACATAACTCTGCTTTTTTCATTACCTCCTCTACGGCCTTTGTAATAGAGCGAGCCTCTCAGCTCTGCAAAAAGACAGAAAAACTTGGTATAACTTTCAGTACCGTCAGCCTGTCAGCCAGTCACCCACCAGCAAAGTCAGCTGTTTTTGCAGCACCTCACAATACACGTCTTTGTTGGTTCCATATGAGAGGAGCTTTGTTCGGTTTGTGCCCAACCTGTAGAGGTTCAGCTACAGCCGAATGCTCAGGAGGCGACTGTGAATTAAGCTATTAATGTCAGCGTTACATCGATATCGTCTGTCTTTTTAAAACTCCGTGTAGCTTCGGGTTTGGCTGGTAATCCCATCTGGCGTCAGCGGGCCAAAGTTATTGAAGTATCAGTTGTTACGTTGCATCAAGCATGCAGGAATTTGGTAAAAAAAAACAAATGATATCCACCCAATGATTCGCTCTGTGCAGCGTTCCAGCTCAATGTTTTCCTCCATCACCCGTCCATCGCTGTCTTCCATTTCTTTTATATCATTGCGTTCATTTTTCTACAATTCCTATCTGACTTTTCCTGAATTCATTGGTCTCACTCTGCTTCTCCTCAGAGATCGAAGGGATGGGCAGGGTTGAGTCGGTTCATGTTACACTGTTCTCATCTGTAACATTTGTTTTTTATTTGGCCATCAGACGTTTTCCAACTCTCGGTCTTACAGTAATTAGAGAGACGTCTTAATTCTCCAGCCACTTCCTTTATGCCTGCACAGCTTCTCCCTTTCCTCCTCTCTGTCCCTCATTCCTCCCTGATTACATTAAAAAGCGCTGTGGTCAAACCCTCTAAACTACCCTAAATTGTTGAGAGAGGGTGGTGATGGAATGCGTGAGCGTTACCCGCTCCGTTTTTGACACGAACCCTTTAGATACCCTTTGAATCCTCTTCGCAAAAAAAACTGAATGAAAACACCAAAACCACTCGGTGAATTTATCAGAAACACAAGCGTAGCAGTCAGGCAGAGGGCTTTCATGGCTTCCCTTTGCATGTGTAGCTACAGAGATGAGTGTGTCGCTACTGACAGTGTGAAGTTTGTTTTTTTTTTCCCTCTTCGCCGGTTGCTGACTAAGAAGATAACACAGCTGTCAAAGCTGTCAACTCTGAATGCATTCTTGGAAACGGCAACCTATATTTACAAAGATATTTGATGACAAGGACAGAAGACAGTAAATCATCTTTTTGGGGAGGAATGCCAAAACTGTAACATCATAATAGAGATAAAAGGTGCTCTGAGATGGCTGCCATATGATGAGTGTAAATCCACAGCTTATGCTATCAGCAGTGTACGAGAACGGAATGTAAATCAATACAGAAAACCCCCATTAATTATAAAAAATAGAAATAAATGGAACTGTGCCATGTGTTTCAGTACTGGAGATCTAAAGTCCTGCACAGTTTTTCAGAAGTGGGATTTAATAAGCTAGTTTGTTTTAGGACAGAAGGCAGTGAAAAGCATTTAAAGAGGTGTTCACACTTTGCTTGCTGCTGTATTTCTAAAAAAGCGGCACTGAATTTTCATCGTCAGCGAGTTCTTTCTCGGCTTGATTCTCTCATCCTAATCGCGTCCTCTCTTCCTCTTTTCTTTCTCTCTCTCTCTCTCTCTCCACAGCGGCGGTGGTGGCCGAGTCGGACATGATGCCGGGACAGATACCTGACCCTTCGCTGGCGGCGGGCTCCCTGCCCAGCCTCGGCCCGCTGGCGGGCATCTCGGCCACCACACTTACTGATCAACTCAAGCTGGCCGACTTCCGCCAGCTGGGCACCATGCTGTCCCCGCTGCATTTCCTGGGGAGGCTGGGGAAGAGGCCGCTGGCCATCAAGACCGAGGTGAGGAGGAGGAGGAGGAGGAGGAGGAGGAGGAGGAGGAAGGAGAAGAGTGTGTGAAAGTTGTACATTAGGTCACGGAGGGACGTTCAGCGTGTTTAATGCTCCGTATCAAGGCAGGTTGGATCCGTTTCTGCTCACATTTGTCATTAAAGAACAGAACAGTTATACTTAATACACACAGCAACCATTCTGACTTATGTTTGCAATCTGAATTGATTGTAGGAATAAGAGAGAGCGGTTAAGAATGACTGAATTGACTTTATATTTAGGTGCCAGTTGCTCTATGAAATGTAAATGTCCTCACAGCAGACATTTTATATATAAATACACACTTTCTCTGTTAATTAATAGGCTATAATAGGGATTGAAGAATAAAATAACTACATCAGAACAGTAAAATACGCCTGTTTTTATATTAACACTGCATTTTATTTTCAGATGGATGAAGATGAAGAAAGGAGGAAACGGAGACGAGAGAAAAACAAGGTAGCAGCAGCGCGATGCCGAAACAAAAAGAAGGAACGGACCGACTTCCTTCAAAGGGTGAGTTCATGACTCAGCACTGCATGTTTATAAGTAGAAGAGGAGCGGCTCAGGCTGGGAGCCCACAATAAGTCAACTTTAATGAACCGGAACAGCTAAATTCTGTTTAAACCGTTCTACATAACACGATCAGGCTAATGCAAGCCTGGTTTAGACAATCATCAGTCCTACACCTGCGGGATTTGAAGTCACAGAAACTCTACGTCTCTTTCCAGGAATCTGAGCGTCTGGAAATGGTGAACTCAGAGCTGAAGGCCCAGATCGAGGAGCTCCGTATGGAGAGGCAGCAGCTGATGGTGATGCTCAACCTCCACCGGCCCACCTGCATCGTGAGGACCGACAGCGTCAAAACACCGGAGAGCGAGGCCAACCCCCTGCTGGAGCAGCTGTCCGCCGAAACCAAGTGAAACCGGGACACCAGGGACGCAGAGTCCCTGAAGTCCGAACTAGCACCACCGTGGCTGCCATTTAAATGCAAGCATAACTGGCAATAGATTTCTAAACAAGCACTTGAGCTCCAAGCTGGAGACTTTTGGAGACTCTGCCCAAAGATCTGAGGTCATGGGGCTTCCTCAGTACTGCTACATGAGCTGGCTCTGTCCATTGGAAGACTGGAAATCCCCAGTTTCATCTCCACATTAAGTGTTGTCGTTGACACCCGCTGTGCCTAGTTGTGACTTCAACCATCTCTACGTAAAGGGACCAATGGAAACAGTAGAGTGCGACAGGAAACAGCGCTGAGGACTCACACTAATATCAATATGGTGCTCTGTTACAAAAGCCCTGAGTAGATTGTGTGGCATTGTTTCAATGCAGAGACCCACAAAGGCTTAGTGTTCTGCAGTTTTCCTATGTATGCTAGTTGAAATATACAGGTGTAGAGTTTTTTGGATACAATACTCAATACGAATACACCAGATGGAGGAGTGTTTTTTTTTTTAATGTTGATTTCTATACCCTGCCTCGACGATGGCAGTTACCGGTTGATCCGATTTGTGGTGACGCTGGCGTCATGAAAAGCACATATACACAAAATGTTTACACCCTTATTTTTTTGGACTTGTTGTCTGTCCATTATTGTACTTGTTTTATACTGCTTTGTATACATAAACATATATGAAATGCTTGTTAATCACTTGATGTGATTTGTCTTTTTCAGTCTTTCCAGTCTGTCATGTTGCGCTGTCAAACAGCTGTGAAAACAAGCAGAAATCTCTTCAGCTGAGCAGTATTTCAGTGTCTGTTCTGCACCTGTATCTATGTATGAACTCTGATACCCTGAATAGATTAAATTTTATTTTCTAACTACAAGAAGGAGATCAACATTGCTTTCTCTCTTCCCCCCTTCCACCACCCCGCCAACTCTCTCAGACACGCAACATGGGGCATTTACTCCGGTGAAATGAATCCGAGTCCTTGTGTTTGTTCCTCGCAGTCATGACACTAAAACTATCAAGTGACAAAAGTTGTGCAATCATGTTTGCTTCAGCCGAGGCTTGTTGCCAAAATCAGGGCTTTACTTTCATTTGCACAACTCTGAAAAGGTCATTCATGCTTTTATTTCTCTCGGGCCGACTACTGTGGCTCCCTTTGTTGGAGGCTCAGCAGGAGAAACAACTCCCATCTGCTGACAGAACAGACAGTTGCTGACAGCGTTTCAGCTAACTCGACCACATATCACTCCTGCGCTGACTGCCGATCGCTGGCAGCCTCTGCGTTGTGTTGCTGCCTTTAAAGAAAAACCTCACTGTTACGAAATGATTATGTTTTTGTTTTGCACATTAAAGAGCATGTTGTACGATTGTTTCTAGTTGGAGGAAGTAGGAGAAATTACAGACCCATATCCTCTATTACACTCACTGACATTTTAATACAGAAAACCCGCTCGCTGGATTTAAATAGGTAAACAACATCACGTACATACAGCAATGCTAAAGCAAAAATGCTGCAGAGATTCTGCACCGAAAGCTTTCGTATTGTATGTACAGTTAAGCCCACAAATATTCATACCCATGCTGAATTTTAATTTATAGGAAGTTTTTATTTGGCCGATAGGTTTCTTCTGGTTTTAAAGGAAACAAACAAAATTGTGCAAGATGTTAAAAGTGAATTCAAATGATCCAAACCCTTCCTCAGTACTCAGTAAAGCCTTCATTTGCCACCCCAGCAGTATTCTTGTAATTGCCAACAAGCTTTTCGAATGTCTCCTCTGGGGTTTTGGACCGTGTCCTCGAGGTTGGAAGGCTTCCTCGTCATTGTTCTGATTTTCAGTTCCCTCCGCAGGCTCTCACTGCGAGTCTTGACTCCGACTGGGCCGCTCCAGTGTGTTGATGCTGTTTTTTGTTGATCTTTTCTTCACCAGGTTGTCTGCATGTTGTCCCGTTGGAAGGTCCAGTGCTGCCCAAGGACCAGAAAAAAACACCTACTTTTCTTATGATGATGTTTTACTTTGAAAAGGTTGTCTGGTCTGTTGGCTGAAAAACATCCCCAAAGAATTACAGCAACATGATTAACCGTGGGGATGACGTTCTCCTTTCTCTTGCTCAATGGAAGCCACGTCTCTGTGTCCAAACAGCTCCATTTTCATCCCATCTGACCCCAGGCTTGATGAGCAAAAGCTCTCTTCTTGGTCCAGGTAAGCTTTTGGCTTTGTGTCTGTCTTAGAGAAGAGCAGTCCTTCTTGATGGGTGTCCTTGTGCAGCATCTGTACCAAAGCTGCTCAGATTCATCTGGATAGTTTGGAGGTGATCCCTGGATACTTCTTGGCCTACTAGTCTTGTCTGTGCAGGGATCATTTTTGCCTCCCTACCACACCCTTTGAGATTTTTCACAGTGTGGAACTCCTTGTAAGCTTCGCGCTGTGGCCACTGGCACTTGGAAACACTTGGATTCTGCTTCATAGTCTCGCTCAGAGTCGTGAGCAGCCTCAGTGTGCAGCTCTCTGCCAGTGATGGACTCTAATAGCAAACTCGTCAAGTTCTCTGATATGCTGTTGACTTGTAACTGACTGCTGTGGAAGTGCTGCATCAGCTGTTCTCCAGTTACAGTCAAGATTCAAGATTATTGTCTCAGGCGTTGGAAATTTGTCTCAGGCTATTTCACCCATGTTCCAACACAAGCAGACACAAACAGGGAAAACAGAGGTAATAGACAGAATAAATAAATATATGCATACACCAAGTAAAAGCAGAATAAAATGAATATCAGACTCTAATTTCATGAGACATGACACTTCAAAAGAAACAAACAAAAGAAAGCTGTAGAACATGGTGTTAATTATCATGAGGGACCATTGGGAATTATAAAGAAGCTGCAGATTTTGCAGAATTGGTGCCACGTTCAAGTGCTTCACGTATTTTAGGACATATTTTTAGTGAAAAAAAGAAAAAAAAATCATTTACATTCACTAAATTTCTTAGCATCATTTGACACTTGTGTAAGTCATTTCCAACCAGAAGAAACCCACTGGTCCAAAAAAAGAAAAAAAAGAAAAAAAAAGAAAAAAAAGTTAAGTAACGATCCAAATTCAGCATGGGTCTGTATGCCGGTATACGGTCAACGGCTCCATCTAGTGGACACCTTCATGAACTACATTAAATCAATCTCTTTACAAGAATATGTTTCAATGCCACTTTATACACATGGTCAAAAGCGCTTTAACAGAAAAACAAATGTGGTTAATTTAGTTGGGTTGTGTTTTGGTTAATTTTGTAGCGCTGTGGCCAATTTTGTAGTGTTGTGGTTAATTTTGTAGTGTTGCGGCTAATTGTGTAGTGTTGTGGTTTATTTTGTAGCACTGTGGCTTATTGTGTTGTGTTGTGGCTTTTGTTTTGTTGTGACACTCCTGGGCCACCGTACCCTCGGGCTTTTACACAAAGAAATAGTGTGAAACAATGCACTCATCATGAAAGAAAATAGTGATGTTGTCCATCAAATTAAACAGCAGAACCTGGGCTACAAGAACATATCAGCCATTTCTACATGCTCCAAACACAACTCAAACACCAACTAAATCAATTACCAAGTATGGAAATGACATAGCGCCACCAAGTCAACCCACTCGCCACATTTCTGGCTCTAGCTTTGGTACTTAATGCAAAATACACAAACAACACCTCAACCACAGATTCCAAACACGTCCACCAAAGCTCTCTGAGATCAAAGCATCAGCGAGAAACAACCCAAAGAACAACAAAAACCCAAACCGCTTCATCAAACTGTAGTTGTAAAATGTCTCTTACCTGAGCTGTTTTGCCGTGAAAAGTTTGTTTTAAATCCACAGCGGAATCAGTTAGTACTACTTCCTGTGTTACACTGAAATCACTCCGGGCGGCTTTTAGAGGCTTCCTCGACCGAGGGGAGGTAGCTAGTACACACTAGCTCAGCAAGCGGCTCGTCAACAAGATGGCCTTCTGCTGATTCTGATTGGCTAAAAGTGCTGTCAATCTCATTTTGGTGGCTATTGGTATATTCTATTGGCTCGAACGATTCGAAGGCGGGGTCAATCACTGAAATCGACCAATCCATGACGGAGATTGAGCCTTGAACAACGGAGGAGCTTCACAGCAGCCTGATTAGCATCACGCACAGGAGTGTAGCACAGAGAGGTCTGGCTGAATGTTCAAAAAACTAAAAACAAAACAAAACAAAACAAAAAAACTGCTGTGTTTGCATGTATTGAACACAAATTTAGTTGGTTTTTATTCACCCCTGGCTTTAACTTAACAACAGCAGTGGACCTCATGACTTTGTATAAACTGAGCTGATGGTGTAAACACTGTATTTATGCTCTTCCTATAGTTTTCTTTACCAACAAGCTTATCTCACCTGCCACAGTCTTTTAACGCAATGGATGAGCTGGGGGAGAAGAAGAAGCCTTCTGATCAGTCAGTCCAGTCCACAGAAGTCCAGGATCAGATGGAGGTCCAGGCGAAGTCCATCCAAGACCAAGAGGGGGGCAGTAGTGATGAATGGGACACAGATCTGGAAGCAGATGGTATAGTAGTGACCATCCATCCATCCATCCATCATCTATACACCGCTTAATCCTCACTAGGGTCATGGGGGGCTGGAGTCTATCCCAGCTGACTCAGGGGGAAGGCAGGTTCACCTGGACAGGTAACCAGTCTATCACAGGGCTACACTTAGAGACAGACAACCAAGCACACTCACATTCACACCTACTGACAATTTAGAATCACCAATTAACCTCAGCATGTTTCTGGACTGTGGGAGGAAGGGTTTGATCAGACAATAACAAAAAAAGTTGGCAGCTCCTTAAACGTACAGCTTAGGGCAGAGCTGTTGTTTTGGATTGGATGAGATTTCACAGGTAAAAATAGTTTGTTTTTAATGATTAGATTATAGTAAAATATTTAGGAACAGCTGTTTAGTTGAACATTGTCCGGAGGTTTCGTGAATGCTGGGCACAAATTTAAATCCAATTCAGGGAAAAATGAGCAATTTAAAAACTTTAGCTCAGCGGGCTAAACTTAAAAAAACTCACGACTTAAAAAGTAATTAGTTAAAAAAAAAAAAAAAAGAATATCCATGATGGATCTGGGAGGGTTAGTTGCGTTGGCATGGATTGACTCAGAGAGAGAAATGTAGAGAGAAAGATTACTTCCTGGTATCATCTTCAGTATCTCCAGTGATTTGTTTGACAAGTAATTTCTTTCTTTCTGGAGCATGACACTGTTGTCACCTCGAGCTGGCGCACAACTCCGTCAGGCAGAAGGAATGCACCATCTGATGGAGATTCTTCAAACAAACACCACCATCCAGAGTCCAGTAGCTATTCTCAAACTGTCACACTAAATACTTATATATGTATAGAGAGAGTTTACTTTATCTGCTTTAAACTGCAAAAGGATTTTGGATATTTAAGTATACCTCAACTACACTAACACACTTTTTCATCTCAAAAATGACTTCAGAATCTCTCCAACAACAACCTGGGCTGTAAAAGAGCTGAAATCATCTCCAAACTGCTGTCAGACAATCGTTACGTCAAATCCATCAAACTGTCAGGTGCTCATTTAAGTCTTCCACCTCTCAAGATTCTTTCTTTATTGTGTATCACGGTAGTGCAGTGGACATTATAAGGAGAAGAGAAGTAGAAATAAATCCCTCTCCCCTTGTTCTCCCGGGAAATGACTTTGATGATTCTGCTGTTAAATACATAGCGGATGCTTTAAAGGTGAGTCCAAAGTGCTGAATGAGTATTTGAGCTCCTGTGCACTTCCCATGTTCACATAATGAATCAAGTAACTGTCATATGTAAATGTGCCAAGAGCTTCAACGTGTTCTTT